AACGTTCAATAGAGAAGTGGTTTGCAATATTATATTCACGTAAATAAAATAAATCTTCTCATATTGGGAAAAACATTCAAATAAATCGAAAACAACAGTGTGAAAAATAGGTAGGACATGCAGTGTTTCATTCACATTTTGTGTTCATTCTTTTGTTCCCTGTGTCACACTCACATCCATAGTTTAGTTTTCATTATACAGGTATATTTTCACAGACCCGCATACATATGATTAATCTTACATTGCAAACAATGTACAAACTTATTATAGGGCTGGATGGTATCCAATTTACGTTCGAACCAATTAAATTAATATTTGTTCAGCACGCTATGGTAGTTAGAATGTGGGTTACGTGTGTACACGCAGATCTGTTACACGGTACCCTCTGGAGACATGTGCACTATGGGGAACAAAAGATTGAATACGTCTCCACAGGCAATTTCTATCGGTGAATACGTCTCCACAAGGTTATCACGAAATAGATATATGGGTTTTACTCAAAAACTAGGAATTTCAAAGGAGTGTGTTGATCAGTCGCACATTGAAGTATTTTATGTAAGGGATATTAAGTCCGAATTTTAGGCCAGGAAATTAATTCTGGTTAAAATAGCAGCATTTTGAAAGTACACTTTCAAACTCGAAAACATTTAGTACACGAGAACAAAGAAATTACCCCAAAAGGATACACATTTCAGTATGTGTGCAATTGTGTTGTTGGTGTGAAGTTTCAATCCTACACAGGCTATAGTTAGTTTTGAGGCAATATATTTCCGATACAATTATGACATTGTGACTTACATAAAATGAACTTTTAATTTCAATTTAATTTGTAATATTCCACAATTTATGTCGTTTGACAATTTTATATGAGCAAATAAAAAAGTGCCTTTATAGGTGCCTTGGTGATGACCTGTGTACCCATTGCTCACTACTCTGTAAACATCGTTCATTTGTTCATCGTCATTGACATTCGGCTTTAAGAGAGGTTTTTTTCTGTGTAGATACAAAAATAGTGGACATCGGTGTTGAAAAACACAAGAATTGCGAGCTCGGTCCATTGCAACACAACGCGTGTTCGTCCTCGTCCTCGTCCTCAGTATTTGCCAGATCCTTACAAAGTCACCGCAGATGAATAATTGGCGGCGCACTCTGGAGGGTCTGTTTGCAACCACTCCAGTCTGCCTCCTATACCCCTGCTCGGGCGATTAGGTCAACGATTATTGTAAATGTTACACCGTCTTTGAGGCGAACTCGCGCAGCCCACGAAACAAGCGCAAATACCGAGGACCGGCCCCGATGAATCAAGAGCCGAAACGTTGGTCGCGGTAACCATACAACGAGTATTGTGCAAGCACGACTTTATTCCACATTATTAACAATGACTGCCACATATTCAACAGCTTGTTTAGTTGCCCCGTCCCCTGACAGCTAGCGTAATTATGTTGAACTAAACCGAACCTTATTCGATTTTCTTTTCCACAATCATGAGTGACCCACAAAACAAAACACAGCTAACACACGTTTTCAAAGTGGGGCAACGGAGTTAATGTTTTTGGTTGGTTTGTATTTGTGAGGAAAGTAGGGATCAAACAAGATGTCAGATGACGCTCAGTGTACGAAACAGGCGTGGGACTGTAGCAAATATTATTTCTCAATGGACAGGTACGGGGCGTTGGTTACGTCACGATAGCCGTCATGGTCCGTAACTGGGCATTGGTATACGCAGCATTGACGTAGTTGTTGTCGTCGACTAAACTGGGAAAAAAACCTGTTTTCCCCAGCAATTACTTCTGGGAGTATGAAAGACTGCGACCGAAATGCCAAAGTCAATCAAGTTAGGTTAATTCAAGCCACTAACATTGTGTTTTTACACGTACTGAAAGTTTAAGTCACAGTTGTTTTCCTCGAGGTCACTTCTAACAAATTATCTAATTGGATAATTTCTTTTGACAAACAATATCCCCCAAAGTACCGGAACAGTTATATCCCAAGTGGACTTTGAAAAAGTAAAGTTGACAACTGTTTTCTTAATTACAAGACTGGATAAGTAACTATCAAGTGATGGATACCATGGAACTTTTCCCTCAACCTGATGTCGGTCAAGGAATGCGCCAGAACTTTACCAATTTCCTCCAAGGGCAGTTTGCAAGTGAAAAGATAGGTGTGTAAAACTCTTACCGTTAAATGTGATTAGGGTGTTATATGCAAGACCACGCAACCGATTGGCAAAATTTCACGGTGCTCTTCAATGCTATAACAAGTAATATCAACACTCGGGGCACTGATCAGAGGTTGTCGGCCTGAAAGTCTTGGTCGGACACGATCTTGAACTCCTACAGGCCCGAGTGCTTACGCATTTTAATACGCTTGGCAGGGGTCCGTACACATTTAAGATACACGGCTCGGTCCAGTAGCCTCACGCGGTATTATGCGAGGCAATCTCAATTCCGATCGGTCCCATGTGCCTAAGCCAACCATGTCCGTGGATCGCGGGTGACATCAAAAGATGATCCCATCAACCACGACCGCCCTGGGTCTATTTTCCCATCCACCGGGTGATCAACAATCTCCCAATTTCGGGAAACTCGCGCCAAATAGGCTCGACCGTCACGCGGGGTGTTTTGCTAAGGACGAAGCTAAACACGCCCAGAGCCCGCCAGTTTTGTTTTATAAAATACCACTCTTGTTTTCCGTCGCCCTATAAAACTGTCGGCAATTTACAAGTTCCTGTCAGCGTCCGAAATAACTTTTTAATCCGTCAGGATGAAAGTGTATCCCCGGGATCTTAATTTGGTTTTTGTTTGCTTTGTGCAAGGGATAGGGGCGCTGAAATGTACCAATTCGCACATTTTGACAGCGCGGGAGGAATAAAGTGACGTTCAATAATTTTGATAGCGTGGTAATTTTTTTTCAACCTGTGGGAAGGAGAAATGTTGCAGTTAAAAGTCCGTAAAAGCAATTAACATAAAACAAGCCTTCCCCTTATTTATTTGAGCGGCAAGTTGCATGACGTGCAAGACTGGTTTGCAAGCACTTTAACTACGCGTGCGCACTTCAAGACTTAATTATTCTCATTACAATTTCTCCTTTGAAGCAAGAACAAAATTAACATTTTTAAACTGGACAGCACCGTGACTTTAATATTTCGTTTGATCTTACGTCAGTCTGTGTGGACTCTATTTGAACCTTTTTTTATTTTGCGTTTATTTATCTTTCATCGTGATGTGAAATGTCAACATCTTGATGCAGATATTTCCTGTGCAGTCGGAATGCCGAATTTTCAAGTCGTTTTTGGGAACACAAAACCTAAATTAAACATCAGAGAAAGAAATAGGCCTCCCACCCACAAACACACACCTTCTCAAATGTGTATCCTTGTAGAGACATTTCTTTGTTCTCGTGTAGTAAAGTTTTCAATTTTGAAAGTGAAGTTACAAAATGCTCTTATTTTAACCAGAATTAATTTCCTTGGCTGAAATTCGGACTTAATATCCCTTTTCTTCCATTTGCGACGGATCAACCCACCTTGGAAATTCCTTGTTTTTGAGTAAAATCCATATATCTATTTCGTGAAAACCTTGTGGAGACCTATTCATCTATAGAAATTGCCTTGTGGAGACCTTTACAATGTTTTGTTCCCTATTGTGTGCGTGTCTCCACAAGGATACAAATTTGAACACAATAATCGACTAAATGTTAAAGCTGAACTCTGTTTGCATGTACCTTTCGAAACAATTTTGCTTTAAACAACAAACTGTTTTTTTTTGGAATTCGCTCTATTTACGGAATAGTATATTAAAATAAACAGTAAACCTATACACTCTAACAAAATAAAATATCTTTTGCGTCGTTGAAACACATGGGTTGCAAAGGTTTTACATAAGCATCTCTTTAAATAGCCAAAGATTGTGTTCTGTATAATAAATATTTCAATGGTGTACATAAGAATTTTTTTTACACCTGCTATGGCGAAGAGACAACCCTTTGATATTTGCAACCATGCTTTTCATTACGAATTTGATATTTTCTCTTGTTTGGTCTCAGTATGTGACACTCCCGTGTATATAACCCAGCGTGGCTCGGCAAATAAACGGTCGGCTTTCTTCCACACATTGCTCCCGGGGCTGCCGATCGAGTGCACGGCCGCCCAAATCAATAACGACTTCAACAAGGGGAAAGTGCCCCTAGTGATTCGTCACGCTTTTGTACACCGAAGGCTAATATTGACGTTTCAATATCACGAGCAGTAAACATTCTTACCATTCTCTGACACGATTTTTATTCACATTTTTACTCCGATCCTTTTTTCTGGAAATGTGCTTGTCAGAAAGATGCTAAAATAATGGCAATTTTGTAATAATAAAAATATTGGTGGATGATTTTTGTCTGCCAAGACGTAGCGTTCATGTCAAAGGAATGGGGTATATTGTTGTACAGGCTGTCATGTTATATATTGCAAAGGAAGAAAAAAGCTCATTCATTTCTCATTCCGAGTCGCAGACTCGCTTAGACATGTCAAGTGGTGCGGAAGCCTGGGGATACTATTAATTCGGAAATCTTCGTCTCTGAAGTACTAGGCATTCAAGAAGACTTAAATGGAACGGAACCAAAGGGGAAACCCGTGAAAGCCAATAATGGGTCGATAAAATGATTACGGTCGAAGATCAAAAGCGTATATACCAACATATGGGTCAATATGTGGATTGATTCTCCCACCTCTAAAACAGTAATTTCTTCATATTGTCTTCTCTTTACTGGGACCCATGGGAAATCAGTGGGTTCCACTGAATGGGCTACCCAGTTAAAATAAGAAATAAATAAATAAAATAAATAAACATAAATGGGCATGGGGCTATAGAATGGAAACAACCTTGAAATGTGTAATCGGAGACTATTTTGGTTTAAACAAAGTTCCAAAACTATCAGGGTGATTGGTACTTTTAATATTACACTGTGCTTTTAAAGGGACTTTTATTTCTGTATTCAACCTTATTTGGTACTGGGTATAAGCGTGCTTGACTCCGAGTGAAGGGTATGTACACTTGTACGGAGAGGTCGAGGCCTAATATTGAAACAAAAAAAATATGTTGACGTAAAGTGTGACAACAATCAATCTTATCTGGTTACTGTAAAATATAAACACGTGTTGTTTTAATGAACATTTTACAAGGTAATATAATTGACTTACTTAAAAGGGTGTATTTCACTCTGCACTTTGCAATAACGTGAAGTAGTGAAGAAGCCCTAGGCTTACGGCTCGTTCAGTTATCCATTACCACTTACTGCCAAATCCTGGGATTTGTACCCCAGTGATTACCTTGCGATTCCCGCCATGGACAGATTTGTTTCGCCCGGACATTCACCGCCCGATGCCCAAGACCTTTTTGAAAGCCTTGCGGAAGTCTCGGTTGAATATGGTATAAATGAGCGGGTTCAGTGCACTATTGCAGTAGCCGATCCAGAAGACGAACTTGAAGAGGAAGTCTGGAATATTACACGCGTCCCCACAGACCGTGGCGATGACATAGAGTTGAAAGAACGGGTACCAACAGGCTAGGAAGCTACCCATAATGATACCCAGGACTACAGTCGCTCTCCGCTCGCGTGCTTGAGCCACTTTCCGGCGTTTCCTGTCCACTTCACGATAATCACAAGACGAAGTCCTCCGGCGTATGTCACTACTGGCCGAGTTGGGGGACAGCATGGAATTATTCGTGAACCGCCGGCTGCCGGGAGGCTCCTGGGGAGAGAGTTTTCCTCCATTCTGGTTGTTGCGGTTCTTGTCCACTCGCAACATGGCGCCGGCCGCCTGGCTGGATGCCTCATCAGTATCCACCAGCTCGTAGGCCGTGGATTTCCCGCAATTGCCGGCCTGACTCGGGCTTGGCCTGGGGTCGCCGATGCCCTGTCCGAGGCTCGTCCTGGCGTGTTTCTTGGCCGCACCCCATATTCGGATGTACACAAAAACCATGACGAATGCCGGGATGAAGAAGGAGCCCATGGTGGAGTAGAGCACGTAACCAGGGTCGCTGCTGACCTCGCACAGGAAGTACCCGTTGACAGTCTTGTCCTCGTTCCTCCAACCGAAGAGCGGCGGTACGGAGATGATGAAAGACAGCGTCCAGACTGCGCCGATCATGAAATACGCGCGGCGGTGCGTGCGCCACTTGGCGTACTTGATGGGTCTGGTGATGGAGTAGTACCGGTCCAGACTGATAAGGCACAGGTTAAGGATTGAAGCAGTGCACGCCAAGACGTCAATCACCTTCCACATGAGGCAGAGAAAGGTGCCGAACACCCAGCAGCCCAGAAGCTCGTTGGTAATGCTGAGTGGGACGATCAGGATTCCTACCATCAGGTCGGCCAGCGCCAGGGACACCAGGAATCGGTACTGGGTACCCTTGAGGGCACGCACCCTGACCACGGAGATGCAGACCAGTGAGTTACCAAACACGATGCCGATGATAATCAGTCCCACCACGATGCTCCACACGATGATGTGAGCATTGTGGTATCCACTGGGTGGGAAAGGGTAGGTCACAGTCGGAGTCAATTCCGTGCTGTTCGCTGTCCAGTTTTCCGTGGAATTGAAGTATTCCATGGTGAACGTATTATTTCAACGCGAACATGATAACTGTCCCCATTTTTCTGGGGAAAAGGTTGGAGACTTCTTCCTCTTACCTTGTCCACGTGTCACTCGGAGAAAATTCCTCCAGAACAATGAAATTCTCTACAATCTATGGTTCTATCAATCCATCCACACAACACATGTTGTGCACTCGTGTGCATTGCAACTGAATATCCATTGTGCGTTATGGCACGTAGCCATGCGGTGGAATCGAGGTATCACTAATTGATGCTCGATTCATAATACTTTTGCTCGACAGTACACACTGAAGCTACACTTCAACACTGTTACTAGTAGGTACGTCAATGTTAAATTATATAGCGATAAATGATAATAAAAATCGTTTTACTGCGGGGCATTAATAGTGATAAGTGAAGGAAATACCGGTACAAACATCCATTGTTGTAGCTAACGATCACGTTTGTGTAGCTAGTTCGAAAAGAGAACAGTCAGCTGTCCAGAAAAAAATAAATTGTGAGTTCTTTTTAGGCTGATGTATACGCCTATTTTGTGAATGCCTTCGTGATCAGGGCACAAAAGGTCTGATAAGAAGAACACTACCTTTTGAGGAAGCAGATGATCCTCCTCGAAGTTGATGCATAAGTTCAAACATGAAATGATAACTCTGCCATCCGCACGGTGTCTTTACGGTGTTCGCGTGTTGTTTGGCGAGCCTGGATGAAACAGCGCTCGGCTATGCCCCGCTGTATAAAGCCGAGGGGCTGCCTTATTGTACCGTCTCAGCATGTGCGTCATTCATCAACCTGCATTGTATCGCGTCGGTATAACATGTCAGTCTCTTCGACAGGAATAGGCTTAGTTCGATTGAAAGCCTCGTTTGAGTAGCTCTGCGAGATGTCGTTCGGGTCAATCCAACGCACACGAACGAAAATATTTAGTTCTATGTCCCCGTCTCAAATGCGGTGAAGCAAGTCTGTCCGGCTAGTCACACTGTTTTGCCGCAACTTTTGATGCCATCTACCATCGCCAGATCTCTCCGACTGGTGTCGTACGGGTGCGAAGACTTGTCAACGGCACAACGTTACATCACACTGTTCACTGCTCTCTCCTGTGATGTGCGGTCATAATAATCCGGAGTGAAGAGCTGGTGATGAGTTATGTGGAGAGAGTGAAGGCCAGATATAGGGTATGTGACAACGTCCTCACAGCGCGACCGTGCCACAGGTGCGCGCTGCCTCGGCGCTGATTGGTGGGGGCCAGTGGAGGACACGCCTCCACCCAGCGGCGAGGCTAGCTTGCTGTCATCATCACCGTTACACCGGTATATAACTCATCGGCAGCAGGTGCAGTGAGAGCACGCTAAAGATGAGGCAGACGGTTGGTTAACCTTCACAGTCTGGCTAGCTCCGGTGATGTTATCGCCAGCGACCGAAATGCAACCCCGCCTTGCCGGCCGCTGTCGTTATCGCGCGAGAAATCATTTCCGTCGTTCATATGCATACACTACAAACCGTTGTGCGCATGGCTCGTCGTGGGGTGCGTATGTTGTACATGGCGTTTCCACGTGTCAACCAACGCTCATCATCGTTCGAGATATCCAGTCGGCTGAGCCGATCATCAATGATTTTGCAGCATTCACTCGAAGTAGGAGATTGGCACTATCACGTAGATTAAGTTGACTGTCTTGCGTTTGATGTGGATCAGGCGGGATGCTTGACAAATTGAAAAGCAAACCCAGAATGTTTATAATATCCCATCAGGTGGTGTATGCCCACCCATGTCTAGGTATTCACGAGTAAGCAAAAAAGTGCATCAAAAATAAACCAAAAAATAAACATGTCTTACCATTTCCCTATCACTTGCATCACCATTTTCTTCAGTTTTAAATGTCAGCTGCTAGACGGCACATGTAGGAACTATCGTGAATTCAATGTTGTGTAATGAATGATACCTTACTTGGGCCCTGCAAGAATAAAAACGATCAATTTGGCCAGCTCCGGCAGCGGAGTTAAATAAACATTTCCAAGCAGGTGATGAATTTGGTCGTGTTTTCAATCGGAAATTGCTCGTCTAATGTGCAATCTTTATTGTCTCGCTGTATGTTCGTGTATCTTACAAATTACCCTGACTTCTTACCCCGCCGATGAAACAAAACTGCCCGACGATAGCAGAAAAGGAGGGAATTGTTTATTTATATGTATTCTTATACGTGGATGTATAACTCGCTTTAAGGGAATATACAACATTTGCTTTTGCTGTAATTTTCAGAAATTGCTGGATTTGGGGGTTAGTATTTGGTAGCAAATATTGTTACACTGACTTATGCTTGAAAAGCTAAGAAAAACAATCATGTTCCTGTAATCTGGTTCCCAGACCCCACTTAAGATGAAACGGAGAAATGTATAGACGTCAGGGAATTGTAGGGTCAGGGAACCAGTCTAGCTGGCTTGTACCCGTTCATAGATGTGAAATCGAATTGCAAACAACATGCAGATGGTAAATTGGGGGCAGTATTTGAAAAAAACAAACATTTTTTTACTGATACAGATATACAAATTTTCTTGAAATTGTCAGCACACCAGGTGCCATGATTTTACAGAATGCTTTAGACTGTTATTCACTGACAGTCCAGTAAGGTATTTCATAATAATTTGGTAGCTTTGTTTTTTATGTCTGCAAATGTTGTATATTCCCTTTAACTAAGTTGTTCCAAGCCCAGAGCAGGAATTTTTTATGCCTAAATTCATTGCAACTCCATTCTGCCTTGGCAAGTTTCTGTTTTTAGCATGTCCTTATCAGAATTGTTAATGATAATTCCGAGACACCGAGAATAATGAAGATTACTGGTTTGGTCGTTATTTCGCTGCACAGGCGGGGAAATAAATAGAAGCGACTGGTTCTTGCTGATGTATTTATTGCCCCGAACCGAATACGGTCTTGAATCAGCTGTCGTTAATGTATATTGGTGAATGATAAGACCAGCCGTGCTCATAATTTTTTGAGTATATTATAACCATATGGGTTTTATAGCTCCATGGTACAACCATGTGTTGGTTAGCCTCCTGTTTTTGTCTGATTGAGATATAGGGTCGACGGCTTTCCCACTGAGGAAAATTATATAAATTTAAAATGAAAGCAGACTAAAAAGGGAGTCTTCCTCACGTAGTCAAAGCTTCTTACCAATGTACTTTTTTTTTGTTATTGAAAGAAAAATACGAAGAACTAGAATTAATGTCAATACCAAAAGGGAAAACGCAGACAATTTTGAACGAAAATCGACGTGTTGAGGGTGGTGACAGCCGTACCCGTAGATATTTTTTGAAATACTTGAATAGTAAAATTGCCGCGAATATCTGATTCAAAATATAGCTAGGGTATAGATTCATTTAAATTGGTTGCACGAACCAAATGGCAAGGGTATTATTTGAATCGTGACGATGTCTTCTCGGAGTGCCACTGTAACTTGTTGATGTGATTTGCCTGCTGCGCGAAATCCTTTTATTGTAATGCATTATTCTGGCGCCAGCATTAAGGGAATAATTTAGCTGTTCGATCGCAGCACTCGATTTGAAATTATTATTGCGTTTAACTGACTTGTCGCCAAACGCCCCAATCACAGACGAATACAAAATGGTTTTAGACTCGACACAACAAAAGCACCAACTTTTTCGGATTACATTGTGTTTTTAGTGTTTAAAATTGAATGTCATAACGTTCAATTTTAAACACTGTATAACATTTATAAGTTAAACACGATGTTTAGTGTGCCTGACAGAACCGTTCACGAAGCGTTTATAAATTCAACTTGATGTTTTAGTGTTCCTAAACAGAATAACCGCTCACGATGAACCGTTTTACAGGCCCGGATTACCCAATAGGCACAGTAGGCACTGTGCCTAGGGCCTACGAAAAATACCCCCACACTTTTTGACCGCGGGGATGGGCTATTGAATCTTCCCCACTTCATTTTTGTAATGAGAAAAAAAATGAGGATTTTGAGGTATTTTCCGAACGTCCCAGCAACTGAAATGTATTCAATAGCACTGGAAATTGGAGAAACAAAGTACAAAAGCTTTTAAAAATGTAAGCGCGAGTATACATAATTGATAAAGAGCGTCCCAGTATAATGTGGTGTCCAGCCCCCCCCCCCCCGCCCCCTTTCGAATGTCCACGGCCGGGCAATTTGGGCGTTTCATGTGCCACCAAGAGTTGCCACGGAGAGTTCATTTTTCCTAGTGCATTGTGGGAGATGGTCGACAAATTCGCAACGCGGGACATTTGAAATTGTTACGTTTTTTTGGTCAGTACTTTCGTAAGCGTATGATTCAAGTATAAATTTGCCTTTTTTTTCCTCTTCTTTGTATCAATATGGTGTTTTTAGTAAGGCGGCAGAACACTATGCCCGAATTTGTAACCACTTAGCTATAGTTGTTTAACGACACACATTCAAATGGGCCTTGTTTTGTCGACCGTAATTTGAAAAACTGACTCTCCATGGCAAACTCTTGGTGGCGCTCTGCATTGTGAATCGCCCGAATTTTAGGATTTTGGTCATCCCCCATTCCCCCCCCCCTCCCCCGCCATTCGTCAGCACAGATTTACGCCACTGGCAGTCATTGCACTCGCGTGGTCGCGATTCTAATCATGCCACCGGTTGAGTTAATGTGACATTGTAATGGCACCGTTCCCTAGACTTAGCGTAAGTACAAGAAAAGATGAATTTTCCCAAGCTAGCTAATAAACGGAGCTGAATTAGAATCAGACAAACAAAATTCCCTCGGAACAATTTGTAAACGGGTCAGTAATTTGATATAAACATAATGAGGTAGGGGAAACTTGCTAGAATTTTTCTCAATCATAGCGACATGTCAGTGCCAGCTGAAAGACGTGCGACGCGAAACAATAATTGATGAGACTGAATAAGGACGAGCTTGGTGAGGTTAATTGCTCGAAGTGACTCTGAATAGTCAACTGCTTGGTACATAATAATGATTGTAGAAAAGAGTTACGTAACAACATTCATGTGTATGGTACGATGCTGATGCATCTTTCATGCAGCTATGAAACACAAAGTAACTCTCCCACTGCGGAAATAAGGATTATGTTTTAAACGCAAAGAGAAAAGCACCTACTGAAACAGCCTAGTTGTTAAGCTGTCTGACAGCGGACCCAGGGTTAGGGGTTCGAATCCGCTTGGTGTCACTTTTTGGTTTTCGATGCCCGCGGTTCTGTCATATAAGAGTATTAATTTCCCGTCGTCATTTACCAACAGCAGTTAGCTCGGTCGGTCGGTAAGCTGACTCACAAGTTGGGACTGTCTGCGAAGTCCAGGTTGGCATCTGCGTATAGGTACGGGGTTCTTTTGCTGACTCGGCAGCAAGGCTTAGGGTGCCACCTCGTTTCCTCCCTTTATGGTGCCTGACTTTCGAGTTACATGGATGGACAGGGAAGGAGGTGTGGTGGGCCGGGTACCGAGTCCCGGAAGAGTTCTATATGGAAGTCGGTAAGGGGCTCATTGAGTTAGGGTCATAAGTCCGACTCCTGAAGACTTGGCCATCGCCACATTACTTTTTGTTTTATTTTCTTTCTTTTCTATCGGAGGACAATTGCAAGAATGATTAATTTGTTATATTGAGAGCTTGTAGTACTGTAGTCATTCGAATTTAATTTTTAAAATTGCCCGAAAATACAAAATTCAATCCAGCTTTTATTTCATTGTCACAAAACTGCATGTACATGCTCAGTACCTTTGCGCATACCTTGTTCAGGCCTGTTCCCTGATCCCAGACTGCAGGGGGTGTCTTTAAATCCTATAGTGGACTTTTTTATATTTTTATATGTTTTATATGCACAGCTGTAGCTGTCAACCCCGTATATGAAGCGACTTCGCGCGGCAGCTTGTGACGACGACATCGACAGAATGTACAATCTTTTGACATGGGTTTCAGAACCGGATTTTAGCTTCGCGGAGTTTTGAGCAGCCGTGTTTATTATTTACATTCTCCACTTTGTTTTTATTCCCTCTTCCTTTCCCCTTGCTTCTCCATTCTTCGGAACACTGGTGCCTAGGGCCTACGAAACACTTAATCCGTGCCTGCCGTTTTATATAGGAAGTTAAACACGAGGCGTTAATAACGTTGTTATACTTTTTTTTCATGAAAGTCAAATTTCAGGCTGTTTGAGGCTTTGGT